TAGTGACGGACTTTACTGAAATACAAAACCATAGGAGGGGAGATGATAACTTCATTTTTAATATATGGAATCTGAAATGCTTGAGAGAAAAGGTGATGGACAGCTATTATTTTTTGTTTTGTTTTCTTTGTTTTTGTTTCGGGCTGCTCAGTATCATTTTCCCCTTCTTAACAACATCTGGTTTTTCCCTTAAAAAACATCTCTTCATCAATAGACAAAGTCCATAACACTGTAAGCAGGAACCCTATCTCCTCTAATTAAAGAGGAAGCATGTGACCCAGGCTAGGCCAATCAGATCCTATCTTACTAGAATGTGAATCTTTAACAGAGAGACTGAAATGTGGTAGAGTTCCTGCTATAATTACAGTGGTTTCTGCTCTTAGGTTCAAAACTTGATTATTTTCCTGCTTAATTCTAATCCTAATATTTTTGACCAAATTCTGTGAACCCTGATATCCTGTCAATAGCTCCCCCCTTGATTAAGTTAGCCATATATAGTTTATGTTGCTTACAAGCAAAGAGTTTAAAAATAATACAATATCCACAGTTGGATATGAGCAGCTATAGCTCAAGAAGGTACCTGGCCAAAGCAATGAATTTAGCAAAAAGATGGTAACTGGGGGTGTGGAGTGAATGACATTGCCTAGGGAGAGCATATAGAATGAGCAGAGAAGCAAACCTAGGGAAGAGAGCTGAGGAATGTGAACATTTAAGGGTTAGTTAGAAGAAGAGGAGCCAGAAGAAGGAAGTTAGAAGGAAGAGTCAGAGCAGTGACAGGAAAATCAAGAATGTGTTATAACATGAACACCCATGAAACCTATAGCAATAATAATAAATGTAAGAAAACATTTTCTAAAGGATGTTCATTATAACATTGTCTGCAATAGCAAAATATTAGAAATAACCTAAATGCTCAACCTAAATAAATTAGGAAATAGACTAATTATGGAATGCCATGCCAGTCATTCAAAATATCATTGTTAAGAAAATATTTAACAGCATGCTTTCTCAGTAAACACCATGTCAATGTTACTGCTGCTTTTGAAAACTGAATATTCTCTGTGGTGCTCAGGCATAAAAGGAAAGTTTGTCTGCTTTTCCCTTGAGAAATATTCTTCTGATAAAATAAACACGGGTAATGATCTTACTAAAAACTACCATGTTTATTTCTACTGTGCCACCTTTCATAGAATCAATAAACAAGAATTGATGAAGTACTTATATGTGTTTACCACTGTGCTAGGGATAACAGGACCCTGACTAGATGTCCAGTCCATTGACTACTGCCCAGAAATTTGTATTTATTCTCACCTCAAGCCACTTCTCTTTCCATATAAACTAGATGATCAGGTACACTTCTCACAGCTCCACTCTTTTGGACTATTTTCCCTCTCCACTGTCTTTCAAGGCCATTCCTGAATGTGGTTATAATGCAGCTGCTATTTTCAGCTTGCACCTGCATGTGCAGCAACCTACCTATAAAATCAATCTTAGGTCTCTCTCTCCTTCATCTCGTCACACAGGACTCCAGTCTAGATGCAAGACGAGATATGAATGCTAGTACAACTCTGGTCGGTGACATGGAAGTCTGGGTTGCCTGATCATGCAGCTTACTCAGACCAGCTCATGCAGCTGATCTTACTCAGGCCCAATCCCAGGTTACCATTTCCATTTTACAATGGACCACTGCTAGACTTGCGTGACTTTACAACTTGGTGGGTGTCTTAGGGTTCTCTAGAGAAACAGAACAGTGATATATATATGGAGAGAGAGATTTACTTCAAAGAATTGGGTCACATAACTGTGTGGGCTGGCAAGTCCAAAATCCATAAGTCAGGTGGCAAGCTGGAGACTCCTGCAGGTTTGAGTCCCCAGATCCGTAGGTCAGGTGGTGGAAAGAGTGCAGAGGAAAGAAAGGAAGAGAGTTCTGCCAAAATATCTATTTATAGTCTTGAGGCAGAACACACCCTAAGAAAACTCTCTTTTCAACTACTTGATTGATTACATTATACTACATTACATTATGGAACAATTAGATTCATGTTTGGCCAAACCACTGAGAACCATAGCCTAGCCAAGTTGACACATAAAACTAACTATCCAGTTCATAATAGGCAGTTCTGGAAACATGGTCACTTAGAATCTTATGGTCAAGTGTTTCATCTCTACCAAGGCCCAATAAAAGACAAGGGTCTGTTCCTCAAAAGATGTATAATTCTCTGATCCCAGAGTTATTGAGGTGATTCTCCCACTGGGGCTTGCCATAATCTTCACACTGTAACTTTTCCCACCGCTGAGACTTCTAACACTGTAGGTATGCTGAATCGTATGGCCCAAGTGGCAGGGTTGCTTCCACCACAACTTGGACCTACTTGTGCCACAGTCTTTTGTTGCTTCAAGCCCCACTCAAATATGGCAGCCTTCTTTACCACTGAGGATATGGGCCAGAGCAGTTTTTCTAGGTGTGGAACATATTACCACTAGAACCCAAAGAGACCTACCAGGCACTGTGTTTTCTTCTTCAAGTTAAAAACCCAAACCAAACCCATTGCCGTTGAATTGATTCCAACTCATAGCTACCCTACAGGACAGAGTACAACTGCCCCATGTTGTTTCCAAGGAGCTGCTGGTGGATTTCAACTGCCAAAGTTTTGGTTAGCAATTGTAGTTCTTAACCACTGAGCCACCAATTCCACAATTTTCTTTTACTTTGGAGAAGATATCCAGGCATACTTTGGACATGTTATCAGGAGGAACCGGTCCCTGGAGAAGAACATAATGCTGAGTAAAGTAGAAGGTCAGCAAAAAAGAGGAAGACCCTCAACAAGACGGATTGACACAGTGGATGCAACAATGGGCTCAAGCATAATGACTGTGAGGATGGCACAGGACAGGGCAATGTTCCATTCTGTAGTACATAGGGTCACTGTGAGTCAGAACCAACTCGATGGCATCTAACAACAATCCAGGCATGGACCACTGGACTCCTAAACACTTCAATGAAGTGGCAGCTACCTGAACCTTTGTAGGGTTTATCTCTTATTCTCTAACCCATATGCGTCTTTCCTAGGCCTACAGTCTAATAGCCACATCTTGCTTGCCCTGTCTGATCAACATGATGTCATCGATGTAATGGATCAGTGTGATGTTCTGTGGCATGCTCAGGTCATCCTGATCTCTTCCGACATACTGAAGGTGGGAGAGTTAACATAGCTAAGAATCAAAAACGTACATGAGTTTTCACTTTGGCAGCACATATACTAAAATTGAAACAATATAGAGAAGATTAGCATGACCACTATACAAGGATGACATGCAAGTTTGTGAAACATTCCATATTTTTATGATCCCACTTAAATGACATATCTAGACTAGGCATGTGTATGCAGACCAAACTTTGCTAGTGGTTACCAGAGGTGGGCAGGATGGAGGGGTAAAGAGAGATTCTTTGCTTAGGGGACACTAAACTTCTGTTAAGGGTGATGGGAAAATTTGTGAACAGTGGTGATGGTTGAACAACATGGTGAATATAATAAATGTAATTAACCTTATTGAATTGTATATATAAAAATGTTGAAATGGAAAATGTTTTGTTATATACATATTTACCACAATTTAAAAATTGTACACCAATGTCTTTGTCCCACGTGAATGTTAACTGTTTCTGAACCTCTTTTCCAACTGGAAAAGCGAAAAATGTTTTTGCTGACTCAGTGGTTGAAGAGGCTTTATTAATCTTAATTATCAATTCCAGTTTTACACTCAGGGACTTTGTAAACAACCACTGGATTAGTGTGTGAACCCAGCTGGACCATTTTGAGTTGGGCTTTAGCCAGAGACAATTTATTACCGGATCCCCATAAATCACTGCTCTAACAGGGTACCATGATGATGCTTGGAGTTTTTGGGCATTAATGTCAACTCAGTCCCCATGTCCAATAATCCTAAAAATGCTTGGGTATTCTCTTTTCCCTACTGTACAGTCACCCAAGGTAAATGTCATAGGTCCCCTTAGGGAAGGACTGGAGAAATCATTACAGTATATACTTGCCATGATGTGGTAGGATTCTTCTTCCTAGGGCCCCAGCCACTTCTTCAGCCACTAAGTAATTAGTTGTCATTAATCCATTAATTAGTTTATTAATTTCAAAATTAACTTTACTTAATTCTGAAAATTAACATTGCAGTCTCCTGAACTGAGCAAGGTGTTGTGACTATGTATTGGAGCAACTGCCTTCAATCTCCTGCTCCTCCATTCTTGCTTTTTTTTTCTGGTTGTAGATGTTAAGCAGCACCCTTGTTGTCTACTTATCTATTTTGTCCTTAGGGAGGCCATATTTATTACTCATCTCCACAACTCCCTGGAAGTCAGGTACCAGTGACTGCCTATCTGTTCTTGCTGGTAATTATGGTAATTGAAGTCTCCTGGTTTCTGACATTAAGCACCAACACATGACCTCTATTACTTCGGGGAAAGGGGGTGGGCTTTATCCCCATGAATATAAATGAACCCAGCTCTGTGACCACCACCTGTCCTGCTGTCAGCCGTGGCCTGCAGAGGAGAGCTGCCACCAAACTTTATAATGATGCTGGTGTCCGTCACCACTATTCCTGATGACCATGGAGTATGATATGTTCTCTGGGTCTTTGTATGGAATCTAAGCCTGTGGTATGTCTTCTGGCCTCACATAATATATCCACTCCAGCATACCCACTTCCCTGAACTTTTTTATACCCTCCTCTACCATCTGACCACCACCCATCTGTCAGTGTGTCATATGTGGTGGCTTGTGTGTTGCTGTGATGCTAAAAGCCATGCCACCTGTATTTCAAATACAAGCAGCCACGCTTGGTGGACAGGTTTCAGTGGAGCTTCCAGGCTAAGGCAGACAAGGAAGAAAGACCCGGATGTCTACTTCTGAAAATTAGCCAATGAAAACCCTATGGATCACAATAGAACATTATCTGACTTGCAGGGTAGCAGAGTAACAGTAACCACCTAACTTTGCTGTCCTTGTAGGTACTGTTTCCATTATACCTTTCAAATGCCTGAATCGTTGCATCCGCAAGGGTATTTTCCTCCACTGGGATGTTTTCCCCTATTACCTCAGGTGACATCTTTAACAATTGGGCTGCCACCTTGTGCCAGGGACTATCTATGCCCCACGTACCACTCAGGGTGGCATCCTCTTTGCCAACAGCCAGTTGCCAATCCAATCTTATCATTTGTTGCTTCAAACCACTCCTGCACCATTTTGAGCTGGACTTTAGTCAGAGACAATTTATTACTTGGTCCCCATAAACTCCCACTCTAACAGGGTACCATGATGATGCTTGGAGTTTCCAGGTATTAATGCCGGTTTGGGTCTTTGAGAATAAAATGCCAAGCTGGGATTAAATGTGCATGAGATTTTTTTAGGGGAAATGCCTGTGAAGAATAAAGGGGAATGATCCAGAGAAGGCAGGAAGAGTCCTCAGATCATGATATAGGAGAAGCAGAATATAGGGGAGTTTTATAGGAAGAGTTTCAGGTGCAGTGCAAGTCAGAAAGTCTCAGCCAGGGGGAGTCCTCAAGTCTAAGCCACCTGTTAAAGGAATTCGTGTCTCATAAGAGTGGGCCTGCATTAGCATCCCTGTCATACCTGGACTTGGACTGGGAGAAGCCTACAGGAAGCACGGCCTCAATGTAAACACAGGAATGGATCCAGAAGGGCAGCATTTGGGGCCATCAGTCAATTATGCTCCCTGCAGCAGGAAATCTGAGTGGTGCATTTTCATGACCACAAATGAGGAGTAGCTACAAATGAGGCCACAAAAGTAAGCAAGATCAGGAGATAAAGCACCTGCATGCAATGCTATAGAGTTTAGAATTGGTCCTTTAGGTCCTACAGTGTAAGAACGGGGTCAGAAAAAAGAAAATAGACTTAGAGATAGCTATGAGGTAGCATTAAAAGGACATGATGGCAAACTATACTTGACAAGAAGGAAGAGCCTTGACTCCCGGGTTTCTGTTTTGGGAAATATATTGTATGTGTCACATGAAGTTAATTGGTTTGTAAGATGAACTGAAATCCTTCCCCTACTATCAAGGGAGAAATTGCGTTCTCTTCCCAGTCACGCAAACTTAAAACATTGGTATTGTTCTGACTCAACTCAGCGTTATCAAATACCTACATAAATAATACATCATCTCTGCCTTCCAGGGGCTTGTTCTCTTAGCACAATAATAATCACACAAACTATGATTTCCCACAGCTTAGTACTGGAGTCACAATTATAGGAAAGATCTAAATTCTTCATGTTGGGAATAAGTTGGTTTTCAGAAGAAAACTAAGGTGGATAATGTATGTTTGCACTTAGGTAAATTCAGGAAAAAATAGCCTCAGCCATTGTTGGTGGGGAGCCTGAAGTCAAGCCATCAACTCAATTGCTCCTCAGGAGGACAGAACTCTCTTCTCCCCCTCTTCAGACCAGGAGACTCCTGATGTTTAGTGGCGATGGAGTAGCCCCCAACTCATGATGACCCCGTGCACAACAGAACAAAATGCTGAACAGTCCTGCGCCATTCCCATGATCAGTTGCAGACAGGACCTTTGTGATCCATAGGGTTTTTGTTGGCTGATTTTTGGAAGTAGATCACCAGGTCTTTCTTCCTAGTCCTTCTTAGTCTGCAAGCTCTGCTGAAACCTGTTCAACATCACGGCAACACTAATGCCTCCACTCACAGATGAGTGGCAAAAGTGAAAGTCCCTGTGTGGTGGACAAAGAACTCAGCTTGGCCTTTGTTTCTGGTTTCTGGAAAATGTTGTTGCTGTGTGCCATCGAGTCAATTTCAACTCATCGCAACCCTAAAAGACAGAGTAGTACTGTCCCATAGGGTTTCCTAGTCTATAATCTTTATGGGAGCAGATTACCAAGATTTTTCTCCTTTGGAGCTGCTGGTGGGTTTGAACCACTGATCTTTCGGTTAGCAGCCAAGCGCTTAACCACTGTCCTTCCAGGACTGACCTAACTCTGGGTGGTTAGAGTCAGAGACAGCGAGTGCTACAGAAGTGGCTGGTGATGAGAAATGGAGATGTGGGAACGTGAAACCTGGGTCCACTTCCAGGTAGGAATTGGGTTCACACTAATTCTTAACATGCAGTTAGCAATGAAGGTGGGGTTTGCCCACCTTGCCCCTTTTGCAGTGCAGTTGGCAGAGCACCTTGCCAACTGAAATCTGCAGCAGCAGAACTGTCAGGAGGCAAGAAAGGCTCTGGGGCCAGAACTTCCTTAGGATTCTTCTGTCATATTGAGAGTCAGAGTCTCCCCTAGGGAAGGGTGAGGACACAAGAAAGGGGAGTACTTGACAAGGGACTGAGGGAAGAAGACAAGTAAGAGGATTAAGGAGACAGCGAATTGGGAATGAAGGTAAGAATGGGTCTTAAAATAAGATTTCACCACTCTTCTACAGAACACAGGAACAAATTTGATGAATTAAAGTAAAAACTTCAGCCTCCCAGTCTTATACTGCTTTAGGATATTTATCTTAACACTTTAGTTCAAAGTAAATAAATAAATAGAAGTTCCCTGAATGTAGTTCTGTTGTACATAGGGTCTCTATGAATCGGAACCAAATCGATGTTGTCTAACGGCAACAACAACAGTGGTAACAGAAGAGGTAGCATTCAAGAAGAGGGCAAAAGGACTCTCTGATATCTGTTGTTAGGATGTCATCAACCTTGTGCTTTGGCGCTAGTGGAGACTGAAGAAAATGAATGTGACTACATTATGACAAGAATAATATTTTCAACATTCGTATTAAAATAACCAATCTAGTGAACTAGAAAATTATTGGTGAATTATTTCTAAAAGTATAAGTCACCTACATTTTAGCCATTTTTCTGTATCTATATTACAAATTCTTTAAGGACAGAAATGACGTGCTGTCTTTGTATCCCTTCCATTCCCTAGCCAGTGCCGTGCACATGGTAGACATTAAGTAATTCTGGAACAAGTCAGAGATATGTTGATATTTTAAGCCTGAATGGTAGAAACAAAATAAAATCGACACAAGGAAATAGTAAGGAAAGATGATTTTAGACAAGTTGGGCTATCCATAATTGAAAATCTGCAAACAAATCATTATTTATCCCCTAACAATGGATATTTTTATAACCTCATAAAATCTTCTATTAGAAATATTTTAGCAATCTGTCTAGTGAGTCTCTAAATCTGCTCTTACAGAACACCACAGCTGTGAGAGCTGGACCAAGGGGTGATGTTACTAAAGTGAGATAATGGTAGTTTTTCTCCAATTTACATAATAATTTAATTCAATTACATAATTTTCTCACTTTAAGT